TGGACTTACTGCTGAAATGATGCATCGATGTGTCATAATAGGATGTCTTCTCTCTTGCACTGTCTATTTGTCTCAAGTGTTTCAGGCATGAGTTGTGATCCAGAGGGAAGTATTGTGCTGAGGTTTAAAGTGTGGAATTGGTGTTGGATCTTTTCAGTTAAAATATTAATGCAGCAGAATGATCAAACTAATTTATAAATTTGACACCTTTAAATAACTAGTTTTTCGCCAAAAAATAAATTATTGAAGTGACATATATACAATGCATTTCATTTGAGCTTGTTTTAGAAGTTAAGGTAGTTCACAGAATAGTAAGAGTTGAGTCTTGGCAGGGGCTGAGGAAATAATGAGCTAAATTTGGGGAGCCTGAGGAAGAAACTCCTAATCCAAAAGGTTGGAGCACTAGTCTGGTTTGGGGGCAAAATTCCTTCGTTTTGAAGTGAGATTTGAGTGTGGGTTCCCCTTTCCCAGGAGAATGTGTCTCATCCCAAGAGGTACTCTGATCCAGGTCTCTTTCAGCGTTGTTGGTTGGGTTCAACATATAGTAGAGACAGTTGTAATAGTCACAAGGCCAAAGAGCAAAAGATATCTTTTGGCAAGAGGACTCCAAGGATAACTTCGGTTTAGAAACCTGAGTCAGAGGAAAGCAGTTTAAACTTGGGTTTGTGTGTTCTTGACCAACAGTGGGATTCCTGGTCCACAAATGTTGAAGAGGAACTCCAGGAAAGGCTTCATGGTAGTGATTGCCTGTTAGAGGGAGGTGCCCGTGTTACAGGATGGGTCCACATGTCCTTTCCAGCACCCTCCTGCTGCCTGCAGAGAGTGCAGATCTTCCAGAGCCTCCAGAGGGGTCTGTACTGTGGAGTACAGCCTGGCCCCTGATCAGGGAGGGACTTCCTCTAAGTACCTGCTCACTAAGCAGTGCTCAATCCTGCTCCTTGCCATCACTAAACTGATACTAAAAAATGCTTTGCATTGGGATTTTGCTGCCATTTGAGCTGTTTTACATGAAAGCCTGAGAAAATGGAACCATAATGTTTTGACACAGTGATAAAAGCCAGGAAATTCACCATCAGTGATGGTACTTCCCTTTCTCTTCCTTCACTGCATGACAGTTCTTGTGTAGGTAGTAATTGAGTAGAAATGACAATAGCAGTTAACTTACAGCCTTCTGCTTTGGTACATGTTAGCATTCCTTCAAGGAAAAATGTCCATTAAGAGTAAATATTTGTATCTGAATGATATGTGTTAAAAAATCGCACAGCTTGGATAATCTGCTGTAAATACCAACATCATCATAGGTGAGACTAGTATTTTTAATTTCCCTTTGCAGGTTTGCCATAGAAGAAGTGTCCTGAATTCCTTTTCTCTTCTTCCCTATTTTCATGCTTTCCCTGTTACAATAATTGCTCAGAAAATTGAAGTTTAGATCATGTTCCTTACACAATTACTATCAATTGGTTAAATGAGCCATTTTGGCTTTGAATTTTGAGTTTTTGTCTATGGTTCATTATTGTTTGCAATTAGCTGAGTGAGAAAATGGAAAATGCTGATTTATGTTTCATGAATGACAGCTCCCTATTTCTGGTTGTTCCATATTTGTGGTTAAAAGCCTGGTTTATTAATTAATAAGAAGAATTTCTCAGGGTCTTTGATCATTGATACAATCACAAGAATACTGAATATTTGAAAGGAGTTTCCAGTTAATCTCTGGCACATGTGCTGTATCACAAGTCAAAGTATCACCTTAAAAGAACTGTGCTGAGTAAATAAATACAAAAGAGTCTCACTCTCCTGTTTGGACTGAATGTACTGTTGATGAAAGTGATAGGTTTAACATTGATTTGGACTGATCAACTGTCAGGACAGACTATGAAATATCTCCTAAAATAGCTGGTGGCAAAATTCAAACAAAATTATTTTTTAAAATTATCCATCTTAATAGCTAGACCTGAAAAGGAATAACCTGGTTTTCTGAAGCCCTGGAGTTCTCAGAAATTTTATGGATTTTGGTACTTTTTAAAGCAAAGTTATTTCATTAAAAAATGAAATTTTGCGGGGGAGGGGGTTGACCTACCACCCAATTATTGGGAGAAAGTTCCCCTCAAAGCCAACAAACAAAACTGAAAAAAATCATCTCCAACTTTCAACACCAGACAGCACCAGTTCCTTTTAAGTTTTTGGTGGTTTCTGGGGATCTCCTTAATGTGAAAACTGCTCACGTAGGCATTGGTTTCCTAGCCTGTCAGCATTTTGTCCCAGTTCATGCACAGCAGGTGAACTTAAAGAGATAACTGTGTTTGCGATAAGGGACAGCAGTTCCTTATGTAACTTTTTCTGTTCTGTGTTTGCTGCTGGAAGGCTTGGATGCAGAGGCAGAGCCTTTCCCAGGACTGTGACACCAGCCCAGCGTAGCGGGTGGGCGGGGCAGGGCGGGGCAGGGCAGGGCAGGGCAGGGAAGGGAAGGGAAGGTGCGGGAAGGGAAGGGAAGGTGCGGGAAGGGAAGGGAAGGTGCGGGAAGGGAAGCTCCTGCAGGGAGCCGGGCGGGGCTGGCAGCGTCCTCGGGGCACGGACAGCTCCTGCTCCTCATCACTCCCCCAGCGCGGCTCAGCTCCAGCTCTAGCTGCTCGTCAATGGGCAATGAATCAGTGAGAAATCATTCCCATAACTCAGCCCACCTGTTTGGAGTTAAGTTGCAGCTGGTTCCATTAAACCTGGTGGATATATTCCAGGTTAATGAGCACCTGAGTTGCAGCAGATCTCGATGTGTTCTGGGGGCATATGTATCTCTTTGCTGAATAGTAGTAAATACTTGTTAAATGTTTGCTAATGTTCTGTTTTATATATATATATATGTATATATACATACACACACGCACACACGCACACTTCTGGGATTTGTTCACTATGCAGCATTATTGCTTGGAAAAAATGCATTTGTGTGAAGCACAGTCCCTTGTCAGGAGAGGTACTGCTGGGGGACTGCCTGAGCTGAGCACTGGAGCACGAGGGGCTGGATGCCAGGTCAGAACCCCTGAATAGAGTGCAGGTGCACTTAGGTGCAGTAGAGCTGTTCCAGGTATGTTTGTCTCATTTATTCTCAAGTAAAACCATTTATTTAGTAGGCTGTTTCTCCAAATATCTTCAGCCTAAAGATTTCTATGTGTGTCTTTCAGAACTTTTTTGGTTTTGAAGTATGTTGGGGGCTTCTGAAATAGTGTTTTGTAAATTGCTTTTTCTTTATTGCTTATTTAGCTGTAAACAGACTTTCTAATTGTTTTAGTCTAGCAAAATTTTGAGTTGCTTGCCAAGGAGTTTGTATAGCTTTACAGGTGGGTTAGGCTTGCAGAGAGCAAGAGTGCTCTGGAGGAGGACTAAATACATTGCTTGGTTTTGACTTCAGGTAAAATTCAGATGGACTGAACACATTATTTCAGACTAAATATTAGCAACCTGCTCTGAGTGCACTATGGGAGGTTAACTTATTTTGTCTCCAAAGAATATAGCAGGAGATAAAGGCAGGGGAGCCAAGTAGTATGAACTGAGTCATAAACTTGGCTGCATGGTTGTCTCTTGTGGAAGTAAACATTGCTTAGGGAAAAATTGTATGGTAAAAATATTTTCTTTAACTTTTCTTTTTTTAGTTCTTTGTTTTTTCTAAGATTAGCTATGTATTATATAAGAGGATTGGAGCAAGTCCTTGTCCTTGCTCTGTTTCTGTCTCTGCTCAAAAGCCTTCATGGTCCCTCTCTCTAGATTCTCCAAAGTTTGTCTTTCTTACATTTCCTATCAGATTAAACTACAGCTGCCATGGTAGTGCAGTTGAAAGACAGAAAGGAGAGCCTTCATTGGCAATGTTCAATCTGAACTGATTCATTTGGATTAAAATAACAGTAAATCTGGAATGACTTGGATTTTTACTTTTACTTTGTTTTCCAGCTTAAATGGCTGCTTATTATGAATTGGGGAAATCCCTCTGGCAATGTGCTGAAACAGTTAAAAGCAAATTGTATGCATTATGTTCAGCCCAACAGTCTGGTGGTTTAGAAGATAAGTACTTCTCAGCATGAATGAAAAGTGAATTGTATTAGAGAATGAAGGTTTTGATGAGAACTTACATAAAAAATCCACCCAAACTTCCATTTTAAAATATATCATGTTTAGTCCTGCAGAGAAGTCTTATTTTTATTTTTTTTTCATTTCAGACAGTAGTACCAAACTTATATTTTAAAAATATTTTAATGACAGTTGACATCTGAACCCTCCCCTCCAGCTGTGTAGGGGGAAATAATCTATTCTTGAGTTTTCCTTGCTGCAGTTGTAATAACCCTTGAATATGCTAGGCCAAATGCCTTTCCAGAGTGATACAAGGTTTTGTCTCCTAGATGGTCAGAGCTGAGGAAAGCTTTCCTGCAGAGGGCATTGCAAATGCTGCAGCAGAGTCGTCACCAGGCAAACTTATTTCTTGGCTCCTCAGAGGGTGACAGGTGCTCCTTCTTGTCCAGAGATGACTATAATATCATATTTCTAGCCAAGGTACAATTGATACAGAAACTGCAGATAGATGGACTACTGCCTGTGTGTGTTTGCTTGAGTCTGAAAAGCATTTGCCCTAGGAAGTGAATTTAAATTCTGGTAAATTATATGTGAACATAACCAAAAATTGTTCCCTTGAAGCACTGAGAGAGACTGATAAAGTTCAACTGATCATCATGAATGAAAGTCACAAAATGTAACTTGTCAAGTCTAATGGCTTTCACAAGTCTAATACCTTTTAAGTATAATAGAAAACGAAATAATTCAGCTTTCAACATACATACAGTAGAACTCGGAGTGTACTGTGGTCCATATGTGTTATCTGAAACCCGTTAAAAATATAAACTATAACAAAAAGCAAATTAAGAAAAAGAAACCCCAAGACAACTGATGCAAATGGAAACATGATTTGCCCCTGACCAGCGTTATCAAACTTTTTATCTCAATTAATGAGTTTTCTCACTTTTATGCTTCCAATTCTCTCCCCTGTCCCACTGAGGGGGATCAAGGGAGAAGATTCATGGGCCACGACAGCAGGTAACTGCCAGCTTGATCAATTCCAAACTAAGCATTTTTACTTTTGTAATCTGGAGCACCTCTCAGAGCACATATAGGATGCGGGAAAGTAGCACCTAGAATTTTCTAGTGTGCATTGTAGTTGAGCTGGGAAATGCACTGCATACATCAATGCTCATTACATATTGCCAAACATATGTCAAACAAGACCCATGCTTGTGGTTTTCACCTGGCAGAAATTCTTTCCTCTTCAACACCAATTTCTCGATCGCTGTACACTGCTGTTCCTGAGGGCTCTGATGAATGTGTGTGCTTAGGGCCTGGCTTGCTGCTGCTGTGTGTTAGTTGACGGTCACGCCATGGGAACTGATGGCTTCTGGTCCTACAGCAATGAACCAAGAGGCCCTGTGATGCAGCAACATAGTATCTGAGAAGCTGTGAAGGAAAGCACAGTTTTCAGTGAACAAAGAGGGGAAGGAAAATGCCAAAATCCCATCAATACTCTGTGCAGAGTGGGAAGGATTGACTTCAGTGACCTGATGTCTGTCTTAAAATCTGTCCTGTATTAGCTTTAATGACTTTGTAAACATGGGTTGTTTTTTTACATATAGTATACCAGATTGCTTAGTGATGGCAGGTATAGAAATCTCACAGGGGAAACATAAGAGCAGGGATAGTGAAGGCAGCAGCTCTGGCTGGAGAAGCAACACAGATGTGCTTTGTGCTTGCTCTAAGGATAAATGAAAGACTTTTAATATCTAGATTTTTCACTTCTGCTTTTTCTTAGCAGTTCCCTCAAAAGATGCAACTTTCTTTGTTTAATGAATGCTTTATACAAACTTGATTAGAAGGCAAATCAAAGCTTACTCTGCAATGGATGCAAACATTCCAAAATCCCAATTCATCTGCTGCCATAAGCAGCAAACAAGCTGCTTTCTCATTTCAGTGCTATCAAATAATTCAGCATTCAAATTAACCATAGACCTCAGGAAAATCAATAATACAGTTATGCATGAACTAAAGCATGGCTTCTGTTCAAATAAGCCTACTCATTTCTAGCATATTCTGGTTCAGCAAATCTTTAATATGCAGTTCCCTGTCTGGGAAGGCTGCTCACAGCAATGCATTGATGGCAAAAGTGCAGTACCTGTGTCCTCAGACCAATGTTCTTGCTTGGTTTTTCCTTTATGATGCAGATAACAAAGAGCTGCGGAAGGATCGTGTAGGTAATAAAGAACTGCGGCATCTGAAAATAAAGAAGCAACTAATTTCAGATCTGCAGGTCCAAGATGTGCAGTTGACAGTTGAGATCTGCAGAGAGAAACTACAAGTTCCTGTTCCATCAGTTTGAAGCTGGAGGTGTGGAATTTTACCCATAAAAACTCAAGTGTAGATCAGCTTGATGAGGTAAAGGGTCAGAAAAGAGATCATTCAAAGTGTGGCTCCAGAGTTTCATTATAGCTGCTGGGATCATATGACTGGTACTTAGTAGATGAAAGCTTTTAATTATTCTCATGTCTTCACACCTGCTGGCAATTATAGCATCTTGTCTCATCTGGGGTTCTGTGCCTTTCTTGTGGCAAACTGAAGTCCATTCTCATTTAGTGAAGGTTTTAGCAGTAGTTCTGTACAGCGTGAAGATCAGTTCAAGATAATGAAGCACTTTGCATGAATAAGTGATTGTCAGGATTGATGTTTGAGCTGCTTGAGGACAAAAAGTGACTTGTCTGATGTTGCTTATGAGGTAAGTAGGCAAACTGGGAGCAGTACCTGTATCTAATATCTACATATCTGGATCAGTTTTTCTTTTCTCATTTTGTCTCTCATTTATTTTTTCCTTCAGCAAAACTAAACTTTTTCAACCTGATCCTATTAAGAAATCTAATTAGTGCTACAGCTTGCAGGGCACTATTATCATGTTGACTTTTAATCATGCCACTGTGAGAGTGTTTTTCCTGAACCCTGAGTGTTACAGAATAATTAACTTGAACATGCTGAGGCAGAAAACTTTTCTTAAAAGAGAAAAAAAACTCTTTCAAGTATTGTGTATTTACTAGCTGCTTATGTGATGTAAGAAAAAAGGTGAGCTCTCCAGACTGGGCAGCTGAGCTTCATGTTGTCTTTGTAGCAGTCCTCCATGAGTGGAACAGATTGTCTTGTGTAAGAAAGTGCAAGCTGACTAATAAAATCAGCTGAAGGACTACAAAATTGAGCTTCCTTTGTAAAAGGACTGACCACCAATTTCAGGGACCTCTGAAGGTTTGTGTAATTGCTTCTTACGGCTGTGTCTTAGTTATGAAATGCTTTCTTTTAATTAAACCATCATTTTTCTGGTAAGTACCACTTTTACTTGATTTTTAATTAGGGGGAAAAACTGCTGTGCTCTGCTGGGCATTCAGAGAATACCAAGAATAAAGAAGTTTACAAACAGAATGTCAAACCTTGTGAGTGTTTCTTCATTGGCCCCTTCCCCAGACCTCATTTCTACACTTGGGTTTTGCCCATGCTGTAGTAGTCATGGCTCTACAATGTCTATTAACCCTGCTGGGATGAAGTAAGTCCAGCAAAATTTTTATCTAAATTCCCTAGTAAAATAGGAGTTGGGAGGACAAGGGAAAGGTCTGGAAAAGTCCTTTCTTCAAGAGTGACCCTGCCTTGCAGAGCCGGGGAATGTGAGGGCTGTCCTGTAGTTCCGATTGGGAAAGGCGATAAAGAACGACACTGGACTCTCCACGGAGTCACAACACGAGAATTCCCTAGTTTATTGCTTTAGCCCTGTCTTATAGACAGATACGTGGAAAGTACAGAAAAGAAACTCTTATTGGTTAGCAAAGTGCTACATTACCATCATTGGTCAGGGGCACTCTGCCCCCTGACCCTCTCGTGCAAGGTAAACACAAGGAACAGACAAACAGCACCTGGCAGTTGTATTCTGTATCTGAGGATTGTTTTGAAATCCTCCTTTGAATTCCCAGGCTAGCTTCTCAGGCAGGACTGAGAGGCTATGGGCCTGCAGTCTCTGCAGCTCTCTGCAGCCTGTTCTAAAGCTAGCATCCATACTGTCCTGTCTGTGCTGCCTCTGCTGTCACTGTGACTGAGTGTCCTGAGCCTGGGGACGGAGGTGCTGCCTTGCAGAATGGAGATTTTCCCTTTTGAGCATTTTAAGTTTGTATTTTGCCCCACAGTAGTTGCATTTTGTAAGACAGTAGAAGTTGTTCCCTTTTTAAGGGGAAGAGAATAGAATTAATATATTGAATCACTAGAAACCTGGGACAGACTCCCTTAGATTGATGGGCTCATCAGGCAGAAAAATGGGAGCCTGTGCTTGTCTCCTCAGTCTCTCAACAAAAGCAAAAGGACACAAAGCCACTTTTGCCCTCACAGTTCACTTTTCCCATCCAAACTTCCTGGATTTAGACACAAATTTTAGCTTTTCTTGATGCTACAAATGCATGGACCAGTGTGAGCTATGACTCAGGGGGCAGAGAAGGTGGGGCAGCAAAACCCACTTTTATACAGGACTTAGGGATCTAAATGTGGGGCTGGGAGAGGTCAGAAAATCTTGGTTATTTGGCAAAATTTGTCGTTGTGAGGTACTAATTTTCTTTGACTTCTTTCATTATTTCTGCTGCCCTTTTCAGTGAAGGGATCTCTTACCAGCCCCAAAACTCTGCTCTAGGCTTTTGTTATAGATAATGAAGAGTTGGCGGAGCTTTTAATTAGCTGAAAGAGCACCATGCCAATTTGCAGAAAACTGTTGTCATTACATGATTATAAAAACTGTGTAACTTCTCTGCTATTTTTGAAAATTTCAGTCCCTTACTGAATTACTACAGTGACATTTAATCTGGTCTAGGCCAAGGCCGCCTTATTTAATATTAGTACAAGTCCTTAAGCCAAAGTATATATAGATAAATTAAGTATAAAACAGTGAACAAGCTCTTTGAAGTTGTGAGTTTTGAGAGTGTGCTTGAGAGATTTCCTTTGTTTTTAAATGAGATACGGAAAATTGATAATTATAAAGACATCAAGCTGTTTGACTCCAATTTGTTTTGGCTGATTTATGTGCACTTCTCATACCATTGCATCAAACTGTCCTATGAAGTAGAAAGCAGAACCATGTGATTTCACAAAACCTTCAGGATCTTTCCTGAGTGTTTATGAGCATAAATAATGAGTGTCATTCTGCAGGGTAGCTCACAAAGTGCTGAAGTCAATAGAAAGTTGCTTGTTGACTCCAGCATGTTTTAGATCCAGCACTGGAACAGACTGATCTGATGTGTTGTGGAGTCTGTGCTGGAAATAGCCCGAGCCCAACTCTAAACCACCCTGCTGTAGTTAAACCAGCTCTGAACACTGCTTTCCATCATCTTCCTAACATCAGCTGGTCTCTGATATTGTGTAAGAAAAAAAAAAGATGTTAATGTCTCAATCGAACACTAAAAGACTGCGGACATGAAGTTGCAAAATTAAGTATTTAACAGAAGAAATCTTAAAGTGAATGTTATATTATTCTTGGAATAAATCAGGCTTTTCTGATATTGTCTGATTAAATAAGAAGTGTAAGGATGACTTCATGATTGTTGTAGCAGGGGGTAAAGGAAATTTACAGACTTCTGTTATTCTGTGTGCTGCCTGAAATGGGGGAAGGAGATTTTCCCTCTCTGCAGGTGATTAGTTTCCACTGGACGTGTAGTAGAGATAGATGTCCTGGTTTCAACTGTCCTTGTTCATGATAGATTAAATGTTGGCTCTCTCATTACCAGATAATAACTTGAATTTACCATCTGTGAAATAAGACAGTCTTACTCCAGTTGTCACTGGCTAGGGGAGCTCTTCTCTCTCTGCTTTCACAGCTGGATGTTCTTGCTGATAATATCAGTAAAGAGATCAAGCACAGAAATATCTGGGCTCAGACTTTGCCAGGTAGTGAGGTTCTTTGCAATGCTTACCAGTGCCATCTTGAAAGATTTATGTTTACTGCTGTAAAACTTCTAAAGTCAGACATAAGCTGAAGTGTAGGTAACCCTTTCAGAGTTGGGCTTCTGTGGGCAGAGGCTCTCATATGATGGCGTTTGCAGCAGGTCTCTCACTTCTGGGCCTTCTGGCTTCAGCTGGAAGCTCCCAACATTATTCCCAAAGCGTACTAAGAAGAATAATTAGAATAATTCTCTTCTCAAAGAAGGTGACATTTATGCCCTCACAGGGGAAAGGGTGTTAATGTGCTGTCAAAAATAGCCTGCACAGGAGTCAGCCCTCATCCATGCAGCCTCCCCCTCCAGCTTATTACTCATGGGGAAAAAAAGCCTAAATTGAAATATTTTTCCTGGTTTGCCTCACAGTGAGCCTGGGTTTATTTCCTCTCACATGAAGGTATGCATAAAAAGTCTGCACATCTGCACTGGGCTCTGGGCAAGTTTAAGGTAGGTAGAGGATGCAGAGGATTTCTAGACAGGCAAAACTGTGTTTTCTGAATCACTGGAATTACTTTATTTTATTTTTAAGATGACCTGTCCTTCTCTCTGTCATGTCATGCACAAATTAGTCCTTCAGAGAGTAATTTGAAAACCGTGACTGTGTGTGACAAGAAGGTACAATGTGAAAGGTGTGGTACTTTTGTTTTCAGTTAATTAAAAACTTGAGATCTCACATTACTAATGAAGCTTCAGGTTTCTGTTCTTTGAAGCAGACAAATTTCTAATCAGGCATAATTACTGAGAATTGCTCCTTGGCTGGATCTATTAACTTCCCCTCCTCTTTTTGTTTTTTGCCCCTCTCCTTTTCCTCGTGTCTTGGCCTGAAGACAGTAAAATATATAGCAAACCTCCAAGAATTACCTGAATGGCAGACATTTAATAGCTTTATAAAGTATCTGAGTGAAGGTTATTAAATCTGCTGTACTGAGCTTTTCAACTACAGCTGTTTTATTCTCTATCTACATAGAACTTAAAAAAATTCTGTGTGCAAAAGAAGCATTGCTTTCCAAGTATACATTAATTAATTGTCCATTTGTATTGATTATATTGATGTTGGACATAATTTGTGAAAAATGCTTACAAAGTACCTGCCCTTGAATGGTTTTCTGAGTAGACCACAAAATGTAAATGCCTCCTTATTGTTACAGATTGCCTTTCCCTGTGTCACTTTAAAATTGCTGCTTTCTCCTGAGCAGTGAGAAATTATGCATTTCAAGTTACCCACACAAAGCATTTTCCATGGGGACCTTATTCACTAATTCCATGAGCAGCCCGAGGTTTGCTCTCCTCATGTCCAGAGCTGAGGTTTTCCTGGCACTTTTCCTCCTGTCACCAGAGATTTTAAACTTGAAGGCACTGTCCTTGCCATGGCCAGGACAGCCCCAGTCTCCACTCAGCTCACAAGATCCACTCTGTTGCCAAGGAGGGCTTCTTTCCCAGTCGGCTCCCTTAGGACCTGTTCCATAAAACTATCCTCCACGTTTTTCAGGAATCTCCTGGCCCAAATTGTACC